CTTATTGTGTGGGTCAGCTGTGAAGCGTTCATAGACATCTCCTGTCATCATCTGTGCCTGTTTTCTCCCCGCTAGTGGCACAATCTCAGGGAAGGTTAACCCCACAATAATCAGTCCTTGTACTGTATAACTGAGTCACCACCACAGCTCAGTGGGGACTGGAAAGGGCAGAACATATTGCAAACTTTAAATTATGGTCTAGGACTTCAGGATATATTCCTTCCTAGAGAACATTTAATCTTTAGTGTAGATTTTATTATTATTCTCTCCCATCTTCATCTTCTCTCTCACCAGGAAATGGGTTTAAACACCACAATTTTTCTTAATAATTCTAATTAATGTCCTCACTCATTTTCTGAAGATCTGAAGTGGCCTCTGTACCTATTTCTACCCCACTTTGCAGGAGGTGACATGATACATGCCCTGCGTGCTGTATCTCAGAGGTCACAGTTCCTTAGAAAAGCAACAGGAGAGGGCTGCAGCTCCTTGCTCTGAAGTCAAATGCTACAGAACTCTCCTGCCTTTATGTAGGCTTAGTAAGAGAAACATGGAAACCTAAGATACAGGCATTTTCTTCCTTGGTTTCTGTAGGTGCTAATTAAATACATGTCAAAATACATGTTGCAGCATGCTTTATAACCCTCATGTACGTCTATATGCATTTTGCAAGATGCTGCATGCTCATATGTTTTGGATTAACATAATTTTGATGGTTAATAAACCATTTCTTAAACTTGCTAAAAGGTAATACTCAGATTAAACTAATAAAGTTCTGCAGCAATCATGGGCTAATTACAAGAAAAATATATCTTTTTAGAATTTAAGCTTTGAGAGAATCCTATTTCTACTGTTTTCAAGAGATTTCAATTTAGCAGAAATCTCAGTTGTGCATCTTCCTAGGCCTAAATCACATTTCTAAGTAAAGATAGGCTTTTTGATGTTTAAATTTAAGGAGATGAATTGATAGCATTAGAGATCACCAGGCAGCTGGAGATTAACTACTTCATCAGACGTAACTCCCCAAAAAATAACTGAATGCTACATTTGCCTGCACAAGTATAGAAAAAGCTACATCATGAGTCTGTTGGAATCCATGTCTTAATTTATTCTGTAATTGCATACAAAATATAAATACAATTCTCTTAAGTGCTGAACACAGTTAAAACCACTGTTAAGATAGATTGACTTTGACTTTCTGAACATAGGCACAACTTGACTGGTTTCAATAGAACTATGGCTACTTTTACAGCAATGAACCTCCTAGGTTGAATCACCAGCTCACACCATCGAAATAGTTCTGGTTATTTATGATTATTGGAGGAATTATACACTTTTTTCACATCTTACAAATTCACCACGTTTCATGTGTATAAATTCATCACTTTTGAGATGAGGGCTTGTGTTGTTCCCAGAGCATGTATCTGAACTACCGGTCCACCATGCAGCAGGCTGTGGTAGACTATCCTGGACTGCCCCCATATTGAACTTAGCCCAATCTCTATCTTCTGCATATGTAAAATAAGGAGCACAGCTACAGGCAAGGTCAATGCTGGAGGTTTTAGATGAAGAACAGAAGCCAAACATGAATTTTTTTTTATCTTTAGCCACCCTTCCCGTCCACACACAGAGCATGTAGTTAAAGTGCCAAAGATTAGACTGTCATATTGCCTAAACCCCTGAAAAAGTTTTTAAAAAAAATACTAGTCATATAAAAATAATTTTGATGTGTCTATTTATATGCCATTTCCCTAGCAAAAACTGCTCTCTGCTATTCTTGGGCACCTCACTCAGAAGTCGCTTCCAGATAACTGTATTCCAGCTTGACTGAAACACTCTTAAGTACTGGCAAACCTCACAAACTTGCAGATATTCTGGTGCTGTGAGGACGAGAGAAATCTATAGTAGGTAATTTACTTTTTCTCCCACTACCTTCTACCAAGCAAAACATGGGCTCCTGCACTTTGTCCTTTCAACTGCTTTCCTGTTAGGACTGTCTTTGCTTCATCTAGATTGTCCACTAACTTAGGAGGAAAACAATGCCTGTGGGAAAAGAGGTTCTGATCGAATGAGTACTTGATTTTGTGGCTTTCTTGGTTCTGAATGTAGTCTGGTTAAAGAACAGCTCTGCTTCAAGACTTAACACTCCTCTCAATCCTTAGCTATACAAAAAGAAAGTAAGTTTTGGTTTCAAACAAATACAACACACTAGGAAACTTGACATCTGTATTACTCTATAGCTGAACTGCTTGCAATAATGACTGTAGGGGTATCAGGTATGCATTGCTTCAGCAGCATGATCAGCACACATTGTCAATCATTGCACTCCTAAATCAGAAACATTTTTAGAAGTGTGAGATTCCCCAAAATAAATCCTTAAAATTTGTTAGCACCTTCTGTGATTTCTCCTCATCTGGAAACTATGCTCTTTTATTGATAAAAAAAAAAAAAAATCTGCCTCCATTCTCTGTCTCTGGTAGTCTCTACTCTTATTATTCACTTGAATATTCAGACTCATTGGCAGAAGCAATAGCTTACGTCTGTTAAAACACACAAAGCCAGTTTAATCAGTGTTTAAGGAACAAATTGCTATAACACAAAGTAGAAGACCCAGTGTGCTTTCAGAAACTTTACTCTCATTCACAAATTCTTTCCATCTCTAGGCCTGCTACTGAAAACAAATCTGGTGATAAAAAGCAAACCTGTGTGGAGAAATTTTTATAAAAAACATCATCATACTTAAAATACACTAGGAATTTTCTTCCATTTAAAGACAAGTCTTCTTTCTTCAACTCCTCTGTACTTCATCAGCCTATCTTCACTGAAAGCATAAAAAGCCGTTTCACTTGACTCTAAATAAGGATAGATACTCTAGGGGCATTAGAGCCCTTATAACCTGTGTTTGGAACAGGGACCTCTTAATCTTTTCTGCAGTGCCTAGTGTTGTACAAACATAATTCTGTAAGTGTCTTGTGCTCCTTTTGACCCATTTCTCCAGCACTTCAGTGCCTCTGTGCAGATTTAAACTGGGCTTTTTACAGAGCAATGGAATATTTTTCTCTATATACGTCTGTATCACAATCCCTCAATTAGTCAGTCCCAGTGGTTTTAAAAAAAGAAGACATGAATATGCAGATTCACTATATATGTAGTTGTTACAACTGGGGAGAACAAAGAGGGTACACTTCACACAGCTTTCTCTATAATGATGTCAACATTCACCCCACAGAGCAGTATTGCTAGGGTTTTACATACTTGCCCCAGCACCAGTACTACAAAGGAGTGGACCCTAGCATTTAGGAAAAAGTGTGTCTGTGGACACTGATTCCTTAGTGTCCTTGGTGGTGCAAGATCACCTTATGAACTTCCAGCACTGCGGGGGAAACAAGGAAGGTAGAAAAGATGGGAAGCGTAACCAAGGGTTTAAAGGGAACTGCAGAATATACAAAACCGAACAGGGAATTGACATTTTCTGCCTACGAAGACACCGAAGGCTGTTTGATGCCATTGTTTTTAAGTGTCTTAAGCAGTACTAAATGCCTTAATACATGAAGCACGTTGGGAAAGCCCTCACTATATTTGGTGTCATGTTTTTTCTACCTCTCCACTTGAGCAATGAGAAAGAAAACTCCTCACTGTTCAGAGTTCAGCTACAGTGGCCAGTTTCCAAAGAGCCAATATTGCAGGGGAACAACTTTAATCTGATTTTTTTTTCCTAAGAGTCCATTATCAGACCTTGGATTGTATGTATAGAACTGGCCGCAAAATATCAGGGTTCCAAGGTACCTTCCCAAATTACTATGCAGCTAAACTTGCCTCTACTAGCACTGGTAAAGCATACGGATAATTACAATCTCACCTGAGCAAATGATGCATGCCAACATTAAAAGCTTAATGTCAGGTTTTAAACAGAATTGAGGTCCTAACAGCACAGACAGTAATCTTTCGAAAGCCTCTGCCATGTATCTGTCTGCATCACTGGGTGGATAAATATCCTTAAAAATCTGACCCTCCATCCTCCAGCAGATCTGAGCAACTCTGCAGTGTGAGCTTTGGCCTTCAGTTACTCATGTTTTAATATGCTCATTTCATTTATTGCAAAGATCAATATAGGGTTATTACCACAGAACACTCCAGTGCGCTGTACCAGCATGACGGCAGTCTGTGCTGTTGTGGCTACACCAGTGTCTATACCTGAAGCAAGTTAGTGGTCCTTTCTGTTGCTTTAGTAATTCCAGGTTTTCCAGTTAAGGAAGACACAAAAAAACCCCACACACAATTACATGCAAATTTAAGTAAAAAATTCTTTAGAAGTGCAGAGTATCACAGAAGATCCATTGGAAGTTTGCTATTTTGACAACTGTGTGATTAAAAGCGCACTAAAAACTATGGAAAAACACCTGATGACTTAAATGAGCTTTGGATCAGCTGTAAGGGCATTTCTTTATCTATGCACTGAGACTGTTATATATAACAGTCAATTAATTTACAGTTACAATATCAAAGAAATGCCAATAATGAATAAGTATTTTTGCCAACAAGAGCGAATAGCTTTCTTATGAATAGTATAATTTAACAACTTAGCTATGTAATATCCCTACAAGAAATCAAAGCAATTTTTTTAAAACAAATTACAGATGCACCTGTACAAACTACACCTGCCTGTACAGCGACCTGCACCTGCAAAATCCTGAGTTCATGCTGCATTTTTCAAGCCCACACACACCCCTTGTGTTTTCTGCCTAGCAAGCCAGAGGTTTATAGATTCAGACTACTCCTCACACAGCTGCAGAGTGTTGAGCAGGACACAGAATCTCACGCCATGAATTAGGAATGTATGCTAAGCATCACATCAAAAAGTACTTGGTAAAGTTGTTTGGATCCCTCTACATAAAGGTGCAGGAACAATGTTACTCACCTCTTAACTCAGTAGCTAACCTATGCTAAGCTAAACAATATAATTTGATTGCAAGAAACGCATGGGCTTTTACGTCACTGTTTGTCTATGTTTTCAGTGCCTTTTTGAGGTCAGAGTAGAAATTGGCCAGGGTACTAGACATGGCAGTGTCTACTGCAGATTGTGGTAGCATCCCTCGCAGTTCAGTCTGAATATAGCCTGTCAAAAGGCTGTGGCTAGGATAGTCCTTGAGAGGGATGCAGAACCAACCACAAGGGTGATTGAATCCACGGACAAAATTAGGTCTCACCTCTCCATAGTCTAGGCTTATACCTATCAAGGAAAACAAACAAAAAAAGTAAAATTAATTTGAGACAGATAAAAAATAAAGATGCAGTAAATTTAAAATGTTCATGTTTCTGCTCTGGGAATTCACTAGAAGTGACAGACACACTTCAAGTTTCTGGGTACTTTCATGCATGAAAGTTGTCTGCTCTTCATCCAAACTCCACAACAGACAAGCAGAACTTGATAAGCAGAAATTCTGACATTAAAAAGACATTCCTCCTATTTACTACCAAGCTGTTACTCCACTCAGTTTGCTGTAAGAGCTGAGTCAGAGGACTCAACTTGTCTCTACCACTCCTGTCCCACAGTTGGCATAAATGAAACTTGGCACACAGGGATGACTCATGGGTAAACCAGTAACCTGTACACTTCTTTAAATCTGTAAAATGTTAAAATACCTTTGAAATACTTGTTGGAGACCATCTTACACCATTTTTGAATGCTTACTGCAGAACTAAACTTAATTTGAATAAAATCTTAAGCCAAGCAGCTGTGGCAAAATAAGAATTAAACAGAGGTTAAGTGGTGCCTTACCACATGTTAGAAGCCCATCTTCATAGCTTGTAGTGTAAGAGAAATCAACAAACTCCCTTGGTGCTATGATGTTCCAGAGCTGGCCAGCAGTGGTGTAGCGCATCACACAGCAGTTCTTGTTGAGTGACAGAATGAGGAGGGTAAAAAACAAAAATATCTTAGTATAATGAATACAGGGAAATTTATCCTTATAGGCAGCTAGCCTTTCCCACAAAGATCGTAGCCTATGTCAACTACGTTGTGCAAATAACTTCAGTGAGGTCTGAATGGCTGTGTCGTTTTCAGTCTAAATGCTGGAAGTTTGTAAGGACTTGCAGTCTGCAGCTGGAAGCTGCAGGAGCTGAGAATATCTGGCACCTTTAAAGCATACTGACTAAAACTACAGAACTCTGTCATGCTTGGGAACTGAAAGCCATATGGCTTTCATGCGGCTTAACCACTACTTAGCAAGTCTGAAACGAACCATGAATGATTTGTATGAGGCCTCTCTCAGGACTAAGATGCTCTGTCAAGTACTTTTAATCCACCAAGTGAAAAATAAAACAGAATGCAAACAAATCTTCAAAATAGGCTTTCTTATAAAACAATAGAGTTTGTATAAATTTTAGGGAATAATTAGCAAAAATACCTTGCCACACAAATCTTCCTTAACAGACAGAACAAAAGACAATCCACGTTTAGGACAGATGTCCACAGGGTTTTGAAGTCTTACTGAATGTCCCCAGTAACCACAGGAAGGCTACTAGCTCTTCTGTAATCAACTTCAAACCTACTTTTCTTTAGGAAGTCCTGCCCCTCAGTGTGAACTACTTTGGCTCCCAGCACAAAGCCCTGCCATACAGTGAAGTCAGTCTTTTAGGAGGAGGGAGAGGTTGCAGCTTCTGTACGTGTGGATTATTAATACTTACAATTTTGTCTGTTGTGGAACAGAAGAAAACAAGCTGTATGAAAAGGCTTTGCTGTATAAAATATTACACTGCAACTCTCTATGTTAATTTTATCAGAGGCTACCAGAGCTCCCACGTCCAACAGAATCATCACCAACCAAGTTTTACTCCTTTATTTTTAGCATTGATGGAAAGCTGAACTTCAAGCTTCAGAATAGGACTGTGCAGCCAGAAAGCCTCATCTGAGGCCAGCCACAGCATGTACAGACAATATCCCATGTGAATGCAGAAACCAGGCAGAAGAACGTTAGTATTTGTTGGAACAACTGCTCTGCTGTACTGTTAAATTCACATATGCATCTATACACATTTCCCTTAAGAATCTAAACAAGTTTTCACCTCTTCAAACGTTTCCATGATGTCCATTGTAGTCATTAAGCTGTCCCAGTCTAGCCTATAAGGTCCAGGCCGAATATGATCCACTATTCTGTTAGTAACATCTTCCACCACTCCTTGAGCTTTGTAGCTAGAGAAACATATGTTTACATTTAAAAATGAGAAATTCTTTATAAATATTCCTTTAATTTGCAACAGCACACTTACTGTAATACGTTATAGCACCTGGAGTTATGGTCAGTGGGCAATTGTATCAGAAAGACAGTACTGAAAAAGACCTATGAGTGCATCTATGCGCCTCTGCAATAAATGTTACTCTGAGAAGCTTTGTCCTTATGCTGCAGTCAGTATTTTGTAAATGGCAAACTCTTTCCTCAGATAAAAATCATCATGTTTATTTCTTTAACAACTTGGTATTTTGCTGCTCTTGCTGGAGGAGCAAGGGAGTCCACCAGGGACAAGCAAAGCTAAAAGCAAAAAGAAAGGAGTGCAGGGGTACAATCGGAAAAACATGTTTCTTAAAGTAGAAGTAACAGTAGTAAGAGCAAGCTAAAGAGAAACTACGTTATGCTTTGGCGGTGTATTAGAGTCCAAAATAAAATAATTTGGTATAAGACATTACAGAACATTCATTTGTTATCAGATATTTTTCGCAGACACCAGAGATTTTGTTTACTTAAGTTACCAGGCCTCTGGCTCCTGAAGCAGAAGAATCCATCAAAACCATTATTTTCAAAATACTTCTTATCCATTAAGCTGTTCTTATTAACAGTAGGTAACTAGTCAAGCAACACATTAATCTATTCACTTGCACAGTTCACCCATACTCACTGACAGTTAGCTGGCTGGAGCCAATCTCAGCTGTATACTCAGAACTGGAGGACGACATGAACATGCCAGTGGCTTCTAGGTAGGTATTTGGAAAGTTGTTCCAAGTGTCCTTTATTAAACCAGGTGTATACACAACCCTGCAGTCTTCATCTGCACACAGCAGCCACTGCCCTCTTGGCAGTGGTTCCAGTTACACCTGTTGTTGATGCCCGTGCGCCTGTGGCTCTGTACAGAGTCAGCAGACTCTTGGTCTCTGGGGTCATCAGCTCTTGCAGATTTAATAGGATTTAAATTCCACAGAGCATATCAGTCTTTGAGATGCTTTCAAACACTACCTTTTTGCGTGACTTTTCCTTTCTTTCAAGTGCTGTTTTTGAGTAACTATTTTTCTACCTAAACCTACAGATACCAACAGAACCCAGTGACAGAAACTCACACACAGGAAGCACCTTTATGTCACACATCCTTCCCACAACTACATGGTTGATATTTTACACTACTGTAGCTGCATAGTCACTGTGACAGTCCAAGCACTGACACTTCAGACCTACTGAACCTGGACTTGATTTTGTGGTTTGCATACCACCATTCTAAAAGGTCTGGCATATGTTGTTGCCCACTTCAGCCAATGCGAGTTTTGTGGTGTGTTCCACAGTTTTCAGTGTTCGTTGTTGTAGACACCATGCAACACTAAAGCATTAAGATATAATACTAAAAAGAAATGGTATAGGCACCCTACATGATCCACTTAGCTTCTCATGTGGAGAATCTGTGTAGGTGAAGGCTGTAGAATCCACAGCTGTCATTTCTAAATTCTATAAAACACATTTGTGGAACCTTAAAAATGTATCTGCTCTGCAGGCAAACTTACAGGTATCCACTGAATTCCTCTGATGGTTTACGCCACACAGTTGCATCTTTCTGAAAGAATACAGAAGATATGATGTTAATTGTCACTTACATACAATTCTAAGATGGCCAGAAAATGCCTCAATTTTTCTCAAGGAAAGCAAAAGACTTTACCATTAACTATGGTTCACCCCAAAGTGCTCACTGACCTGAGCACTTTTGTACACTTTTCTTAAGAAGATAAGCAGGTGTTTCAGACACCTTTTGCTTGTCATCTTCCATTCTTTCAAAAAATCAGTCAATTGCCTTTCTCAGTGTCAAATGCTAGAAGTCTGCACAGAAATAGGGCATGGCAGGCCAAGCCAGTTTTCTAGAAAAACACATAGAACAATGGAACCACATTACTAGGTAAAGCCTTTCAATTAAAAGGCAACTAGAAAACCATTATCTGGACGCTATCTAGACAGGAAGACCACACAACTTCTGCTTGCACTTCTGTAACACATGACCAAGCAGATGTGTGCAGGAGGTGCTGACACTGGCGGACAAGAAAGCTTAAGTTATCCTTCTTTCCTAGATGCCTGACTAGGAGTGTCTCGCAAGCAGTAGGCTATTTATTTTAAAGTTAGCCAGAGAAAATAAAGAAAACAGTATCTTCTGATTTTTATCTAACTATAAAATGGAACCTCTATACAAAATCTCTTAATTTTGGTGTTCAAGAGAGTGCCATATGGCACCTTTTTATTTGGAGTCATGATTGTGTAAGCACAAAGGACCAAATGTCCTGAAGAACAGTAACCTAAGCACTGCACACAGAACTGTTGAGTATATTTAGGGGCAAAACACATCTCCCCGGCATATAGCTAAAGCTCTGAATTTCTTTTTCATGGCACAGTATCAAAATACAAGGAAGAAAGGAAGTCCAAGTGGAAATTTTACAGGGGTAAAATCTGGGGAATAACATGATCTGAAACACTGAAATTCACATAACTTCCTAAATGAAAATAATGGTGTAGGTGTAAGACTCAGCATTTAGCAGAGCAGAGGTGGTGTAGGTGTTTTGCAAGAGTGAAAGGCTTGGATGCTCTGTTCCCTTCAAGAAAGTGAATTTTTTAATTCTGCAAATAATCAAGTTACATTTGGAACACTTGATCCTCTCTTATCAATGTCTGCTCACACATTAGAGAATTGGGTTCTCTGTCATGGAAGGAAACTTCTGGTAACATGGGGGCTCTGAAGGCAATGGAAACATGAAGCAATATGAGAAAAAGAATTGAGAATGATCTCACTTTTTAAGAGGAAGACATTTGGAAGGTGAAGCATGATGGGTTCAAGCATTATAGACAGAAGAGATTCCAGAGGCTGGCAGAGCCTGCCTGCAGGCTGTGGTTGGTTTGCTAGAAAGAACAAGCGAACATCTTGTAACACTGCTAGTGCTAACAGCATTTCAAATTTTCCTTTAAGAAAAGCCTATAGTCCTACACACGTAGGATTCTTCTGTGAGACGCTTCCCTGGAAGCCGGTAGAACGAACGACAGCGTATGTCTGTAGACAGGAAAAAGACATTCTGTCAACCAAAGCTGTGCTATCCTACAAGGGCGGTTTCACTGGGCCTCTGATATCAAAGTCCTGCAA